TCTTTAGGGTATATTCCCAGTCGTGGAATTTCTGGGTCAAATGATATCGTCCTTGCCTTTTGAGCCTTGTTTTTGGGTAAATAGGGCCCTCAGTGTTCTCCTAGGGATGGCTGTATTGAGGAGTACAGTCCTCCCTGGTGTTATTGTAAACTTTGCTGTTTATCTGAAAATTGTTCCAGGGAGTCTAAGGGCCAATGTAAACAATTCTTGTGGGGAAAAAAACTTCCCTAGTTGTCAGTGGAGGGCAGGCGCAGGAGGGGAAGGCCCTCTGGGAGATGGATTGATCCGGTGACTGGGGCAATCGGGATGAGTGTTTCGGAGGCAATCAGATTGGCACAGGACAGAGCAGAGTTTACAGCTGTTGTACATAGGATCGCTATGAGTCGCAAGCGACTTGACGGCGTATAAGAACAACAAGTTTTCAATGTGAATTTCCCCTAGATGAGGCTGATTTGACAGCAACTAACAATTACGTTGTTGTATGTTAAGTGACACTCTCAGGGCTCTAGAGCCAATTATTTTTTTCCCCCCATCATTATTACTACTCAAGGGAAGCAATATTTGGTCCTGTCCTGTCCTTATCATCCTCTGTTGGGAAATCCTTCACCCAGAATATTTGTTGACCTTTTCTAGTTTTTAGTTCTCTCCACTTCTCTACTCAAATGCTATAGCATCCACAAACCATCCCCTAAGACCTTCTCTCCTGCCTGAAGTTCATTTCCTTCTCTCTGCCCTTGCCTTAGTGCTGTTGCTGCTAGAAGCTGTCTAGTTGAATCTTCCTCTCCTTCATCAACCCTCCACCTTTCCAAGCATGAAGGGTTTTTTCAAACTCCTAACATGCCCAAAGTATGTGAGCTAAAGTTGAATGATCCTTGCCTCTAAGGAGCATCCTGGTTGCACTTTCTCTAATACTTACTTGCGTGTTTATTCTTTTAGCTTTTAGGAAGTTACTCTCTGTTAAATCATGTGTGGTACTGTTCTGGCAGCTCCACTCTACCAGCAGCTCCGCGGTGGTAATATCCCCTCTTGTGGTTCACAACTTCAGAAAATCTCCTGCAGAGTCAGCTCAGAGTCAATCTCAACTCAATGGCAATGAGTTTTTTAAGTTTCTTTGTTGTTGTTGTTGTTGTTGTTGTTGGGTGCCATCAAGTCAATTACAGTCATAGCAAAACTGTGACCAGTAGATTGGAACCGTGCCCAACTTGGCCCGTTGTCTCAATCTCCACCTTGTTTGAGCCCATTGCTTGCATTCACTGTCAGTTCTTTTTATAAAAAAAAAATTTATTATTCATTTCAGTAAAAATTTACAGAGACTTTGGATTTCCATTCATTCATTGTTGCATATTTCTGCCCTCCCAACCCTACCCCCAATACACCACCCTCTTGGAAAAGTAAAAGACAAATTCTTTCGTTGTTTTACAAACCCTCCCCCAGGTCC